AGCTCTACACACACCAAGCCTTTTGCTCTGGGCATGTGTAATGAATTACCCCCAAACAAGTGTTCCGGCTTTCTGTCACTGGTCAAAATTGGGTGTATAGTGAGCGCATCCATCTCCTGATAACCTTTTAATTCTAGACCTATTTCTTATCCACTAGATGGCACCAAACAATGCAACACAAAGCCCACTGACCCCATTGCTGCTTGTCACACCTGTTTAATCGTAGCGATAACTCTGAGATGCACAGACACAGGGGAATCAGGACCTTATTGATTGTAGATACATATGTATCTTCTGACTGTGGACAATGCTCTTCTTTTCTCTGCCCTGTGAGGGATAAGGACTTTCATTAATTTGTGTCTTGTGATCCATAGTTAAGGCAAGTCAGTTAATTTAAGGAGCACAGTTTAAGAACAACCAGTGGTTGTCTCCCATATGTCTGAAAAAGTTCGTAAGTTGAAAGTTTGTTAAGTACAGGAGTGTATATGTATGTGTGGATTAGGGCTGTCAAAATTAACGGGTTAATGCGGATTAATCCATCATCATGATTGATCTGATTAAAATTTTTAACGCAATTAACCCATCTTCAGCGCAGAATGACTCAAAATCCCTGAAATGTCTCTGTCAACCCATTTCGGGCAGTTCACTACTTCTCATTTGTGGCTCATTTAATTGGTCGCCCACACTATACCGTCCAACTTATCTGTGGACATGTTGCTACAGAGTTTTATACGGAAAAAAACTGATATTGCTAACAATGGCGATTAACGGGGCTAGAATTGAATTTCATGATTAGTCAGATTATTTGTCGGATTTATGGTAGTTCGGGCTAATTGTAAGTGAACGAAGATAAAGACCATTTAAATTGAGGTACCTTAAATCCGACAAGTTGTCCGGCTAAGCAAATTGATAAGGGTCCATGGTATTGCACTTCTGTGGCAGATGGATTGCATCCGACTTGTGTTCAAGATGTTCAATAAACATGTTAAGTGCATATATATTCCCTTTTTTCTTGAGTCTGTTTGCTCATGCAAAATGAAATGCGATTAATATAGATTAAAAATGAATGATATTTAATCGTGATTAATCGAAATTAATCCACAACAACCCTGTGATTAATCATATTAAAAACTTGAATTGTTTGACAGCACTAGTGTGGATATGTGATGTCTTACCGTATGGAAGTGTATATACATATATCTGACATATGTAAATATATGTAAAATGGCCAGTTCTTAATATTTAAATATATGTAAAATATATTGTAGACTATATATATCTAAGATATGTTTAGGTATATTTTTCCTCCATATTGGTGGACTGGATCTGATTGAACGCAGATCTCGGCCGCCTGCATCTCAGTGTTGCTGTGCTCACGCCTTAACTGGCTTCCCGTCGTAGCCGATGGTGAGTGGCAATCCTGAGCGGGTCGCCATGCTCCTGCCGCCCTCTGCAGATCACGGGGGCCATCCTCCTCGCTGTGGGGGTATGGGGGAAGCTGATGCTGGGGCCCTACATCTCCCTCATCGCCGACAACTCCACCAATGCCCCCTACGTGCTCATCGGCACCGGCACCACCATCATCGTCTTCGGCCTCTTCGGCTGCTTCGCCACCTGCCGCGGCAGCCCCTGGATGCTGAAGCTGGTGAGGGATGCGGGGCGCGGGGCGGGGGGCACACAAGGGACCTGACTTACCTCTTTTTGATGTAGCACCAGCAGGTTAGACAGCACACCACACTTGTGATGTCAACTCCCCGATTTGATTGGGAGTTTCTTTTTAGTGACGGTGTTGATAGCTGTGGAGCTGACAGCTGCTCAGGTTACTAAAGCATCCTGGCAAGATAATGCTGGACATCTCTCACACCTGGTCTTCACCTCTTCCAACCCTGGCCTTCAAGCAGAAAGCTCAGATCCCTCAAGACAAGGACGCACGGCCTCTTCCGTAAAGCAGAATCTGTTATAAATCAGCACAGCTGGGCAGATTTCGTCAAATTACATTTTCATAGGATGTAGGCGGTACAATGAAGTGCATAAAAATGCCTTTTATCTTTTCGGGGTGGGGGGGTGGTAGTTAAAAAAATGAATTCACACATAAAATACTGAAACTGACTTACGGTTTCATTTTTATTTTTTGCTCTTAGCACTAGTGCTCTCCCAGTGCTACAATTCACTTTCCTCACATTCCAGTAGCATTATTGCACCTTCTATGAAACCTCCCTTTTACACGTATATTTTATTATATTTATGTTACTGTTTCAATGTAGTATGTCTATGCTCTGTGCTACACACATTGTAACACCCAGGAAAAAAAATCCTAGAATGCTTGACATACCTGGTGAATAAAGTGTTTCTGACTCTAAGGAGCTCTGCTATCAGGGGTAAGTCTCTGTCCAGACCAGGATTTTGTTTCAACCAACCAGTTGAGTACTCTGTGACTTTGACTCTTTATGCTCAACTGGTTGGTTGAAGCAAAATCATGGTCTGGACTTTTACTCTCTGGACCTGAATTACCCACCTCTGATGAGGCAGTTGTGGTTTTCAGTAGTGAGGCCAAATGAAGCTTCATGAAACACTTACTGCATTTTCTGACCCCACCAGATGGTTTACTTTGTTACGTGCTTTAAGCCCTTTCTTTAATGTCGCTGATTTATATGATGTCTTCACTGTGCCTGATTCTTGCCTGCACACTCACATGCATAAACACACATGCCGCACACAGAGAATAACATGGGCTTGACGGGAAGGCTCTCCAGAAAGAGATCTGACACAGGGATCACTGGAGAGCATTAGTCACTACTCTGAGTAGCTATACTAATGCTCTGTTGAAATAACAAAGGCAGACACAGGGTTATGGTGCCTTTGCAGCCTGTCCTGCAGGATAATGTCACTCTCTCTCCCTCCTCTCTCTCTCTCTCTCTCTCTCTCTCTCTATCTCTCTCTCTCTCTCTCTCTCTCTCTCTCTCTCAGTATGCCATGTTCCTGTCCCTGGTCTTCCTGGCAGAGCTAGTGGCTGGAATCTCTGGCTTTGTTTTTCGTCATGAAGTGAGTATCGGTGCCCGCTGCAGTACTGAATGTTCAACCCGTCATGAAAGGTGATCGCTTCACCGCTCTGTCAGCTGAGACTGAAAGGTTATCACCCCGCTGCTGTACTGAATCAGGGTATAAGGTGTCCCTGCTTGTTGTTTACTAAGTTAAGCTAACAGCTTAGCCTCCCTTTACCGGTAAATTATCAGTGCTGCATGTTTATGTGACCCGAACACTGGTTTTCATTCTCGTCGGTGGTAAGACCCATCTCCGCCTGACCGCCTCCGCCTGACCGTCTCCTCCTGACCGTCTCCGCCTGACCGCCTCCGCCTGACCGTCTCCGCCTGACCGTCTCCTCCTGACCGTCTCCGCCTGACCGCCTCCGCCTGACCGTCTCCTCCTGACCGTCTCCGCCTGACCGCCTCCTCCTGACCGCCTCCGCCTGACCGTCTCCTCCTGACCGCCTCCGCCTGACCGTCTCCGCCTGACCGTCTCCGCCTGACCGTCTCCTCCTGACCGCCTCCGCCTGACCGTCTCCGCCTGACCGTCTCCGCCTGACCGCCTCCGCCTGACCGTCTCCGCAGATAAAGGGAACCTTCCTGCGGACCTACAGTGACGCTGTGCAGAACTACGACGCCAAGGATGAGAGGAGCCAGGCCGTGGACCACGTGCAGCGCAGCGTGAGTCCAAGCGAGGGCGTCTCAGTGAGCTGGTTAGCCAGCTGTGATGCTGATGCTCTTAAAAGCCCCCGGAAAGAGCGCCCTCTCTGGAGCAGCGCTGCATGTTCAGGTGGCCCAGGGCTCACACACACATATGGACACTCCAACAGCAGAGCCAAAAATCATACCATCAATCGGCCGGCAGAAAATCAGGTGGCCCAGTTCCATAACAATTCACTTGGAGACAAAATCACACTACAGACTCAAGTGCATACTTTTTTATCAGTTTTTAAATGAGCCGTGGCATTATTAAAACCAAATACCATACTTTTATTGTACTGTGTCACTCACTGTGAAGGGGGAATGGATAAACCTGAGTGGGCCCAGGACCACTAGTGCCACCAGGGTAGGAACAAACATACAGAGACACACACAGACATTCACAGACACACACAGATATTCACAGACACACACAGATATTCACAGACATTCACAGACACATACTGTAGACACACACAGACATACAGAGACACACACAGACATTCACAGACACATAGACACACACACACACACAGAGACACACACAGACATTCACAGACATATAGACACACACACACATGCACACCTCAGTCTCTTTAGGTGGCAGTCTTTGTTGCAGTTAATAATTCCTGACACTTTCAGTAAGGAATCAAAAACAGATAAAAATAAACAAACAACATACTGTAGCTTGGCACCTAAACAGCTGAGATTATATAAAATGTGTTTCTGTATTGCTGGTATGCCAGGTTTTAATGAGTTTCTATCTTTGTGGGGACATTTTTATAAAATCTGCACTGGTACTTGCACACACACACGTGTACCTCTCTCCTCTCCTCCAGTTACGGTGCTGTGGAGTGTTGAACTACACCAGTTGGTTCACCAGTGTCTACTACCCCACCAGCGGCATCCCGTCCAGCTGTTGCGCCGACCAGTCGGATTGTAGCCCTCAGGACTTGCGTAACGCCACTGCTGCCCCCAGCAAGGTTCATCAGCAGGTCAGTGGCAGGACCTTGTGTGACTATTGTCCTTCAAAGCTTTGAGCTAGTCCTCATTCGACGAAACTACATTACCCAGGATTCTCTTTAATAATTCACGTTCACATCTACTCTTGCCTATACTTTAAAAAAGGCTGAAATTTACAACTCAGAGTCCTCAAGAAGAAGCTGCAGATCTATCCATCCATCTTCTACAACCACTTATCCAGTTCAGGGTTATAGCAGGCCTGGAGTTTGTCCCAGCAAGCATAGGTCAGGGAACACCCTGGATGGAAAGTATGTCGTATAGCTACTCTTTTTTAAAAACACAACCAACAGAAAAATCTGTAAGGGAGAGCTCTGCCAATGTCAATTTATTATTGTTTCATTCATGAAACATTATGACAGTGTGAATATCGGCCTTCACAGCCCTAACACATTAAGCGATGCCTCTGCACAGGGCTGCTACGAGCTGGTGACCTCCTTCATCGAGACCAACATGAGCATCATCGCCGGGGTGGCGTTCGGCATCGCCTTCTCACAGGTACGCCGGCATCGCCGTGGAAACCACGAGCATCAGGGGCATATTACAGTAATAGATATTCACCAGAGACCACGGACAACAAGTAAAGGCTCCCCTTGGATGATGGCTGACAGGCAACTGTTATATACGGGCATGGTGAAAGGAAAAAGGGACAATCCACGGAGTGGCATCAAAAACAGGGGACTTCAATGAACTCAAAAGGAAAAACACAAAAGGACCACGGGGGGGGGGGGGGTCTAACACGGGCAGGTTAATTAAAGAAGAACTTCAGTAGGTTAGGAAAAATCTCATGGAGAAACTAACACCAAACAGGTTCAAGGAACACAATCAAGAAAGACATACAGGACCAAAGCTTGGAGTGAACACTGGGCAGCAATGGCTACAGACACAATGACCAATCAAATGTACAAACACATACAGTTCAGCTATGGCGCCCCCTGCTATATCGCGGTTCAGCTATGGCGCCCCCGCTGTATCGCGGTTCAGCTATGGCGCCCCCGCTATATCGCGGTTCAGCTATGGCGCCCCCGCTATATCGCGGTTCAGCTATCGCGCCCCCGCTATATCGCGGATTTTCCCCCGATACATCACAGTTCTCTGCGAGTGACAGGGGCCCTAAAAAATTAGGAAAATAACTGGATTGGTTTGGACTGGGGGGCCTAATATGATATGCTTTCATGGGGCCCAAAATCTCTAGCAACGCCCCTGTATATATACATACAGTATACATTACATATTATTATTATTATGTTACTCATATCCTTAGCCCGACATCCACATATCATATGTGTTTACACAGTGTGTTTTAATAAGTTTACATGTGTTTAAGCGTGTTGGAGGGGTATTTTAAGGCTTAAACCATATAAAAATGTTTATAAAAATGTTTATAGGCGAGGGACAAGGAACAGGTGTCAGCCATTATAATCAAACAAACACTAAAAGCTAGGGGCAGCAAGAAGCAGCTGTGGGTCAATTCACAAGTCACAGAAAACTCAAACACTAGGTAATGGGTGACTAGCTACACCTGCTGGCCAAGCCGGGAAATGACAAGGCAGGAACCTGACAGTAATGTAGTGTTTTCCTTCCATAGCATGTTGAGGAAGTCAGCTGTCATCTTCTGACCCACCCCCCTGCCCCCCTCACGGAGCGAGGAGCAAGCACCATTCGGGGGGGTTATGGGGGGGTGGGGAAGCTTGCCTAGGGCTCTTTCCCAATGCCCCCCATTCCATCCTGGGGGTGGGGGGCTGCATTAATACTATCCACTTAATGAGGCTGCAGCATGGCATGATCTGAACATTCCAGGTGAACATTCCCCCCACCCAATGTGGAAATTCCCCCTTCACTACGTATGACTGAGCTGCTCTGTGGGGTGGCAGCACAAGCCGACTGGGGGTATTTTAATTAAAAAGATACATTTTCCTGTCACTTGCAGCATACTCAAGGGTTCCTACAACCAACAACAGGAAAGGTCTGTCACCTTAAATAAAAGGATGCGATTTTAATTTCCTCAGGACAGAGCAGAGTGTTTTCTGATTGGTGGATTCAATATCACATTCTCCAATAGCTGCTTTCTATTTGTTCTTAGCATAAGATTATGTGGAGGGTCTTTCCTGGAACCCGCTTGATGAACAATGTTGTGTCAGCAAATCGGTTCTCCAATCCCAGCCATGAACTCTCTCTTTCCTTTACATTCCTTCCATTTCCCTCTTTCAGTTTCATTCTCACTCAGCTCTTTCTCCCTTTCTATCTCACCCTGTCTGTCTCTGTGACAGTGACAATCTATTCAATTGCAAATGAAGATGTTTTTATGCTCAGTGTCTCTCATGCTGTAAGAAACAGCAGGTGACACGTGTCCCGCCCTCCCACCCACAGCTGATTGGCATGCTGCTGGCCTGCTGTCTGTCCCGGTTTATCACTGCTAATCAGTATGAGATGGTGTAGCAGTGAGAGCACAGGTAAGAGCCGTCCCTCACATGCACACGCCTGTACGCACGACCCAGACGACACATAGTAGCATTTCTGCACTCGAGTATTCTGAAATGCTAATTGTTACAGAATGCTAACGGTATAACCAAAGTTACAGAATGGCTAGAAGTAGCAGAGAGTGTGTTGCAGAAGCAATGAGAGGATCAGAGAACAAAACGGAGAGTACTAGACATAGAGTACTGTGCAAAAGTCAAAAAATTAGGTAGTCAAAGAATTATATTTAAATGATCTTCATGTTGGTGAAAAACTGTGACTTTATGTCTGTCAAAGGGGTTAGCTTAGCTATTTTAAAACCTCTCCTAATATCACATGCAGGGTAAACAGTCAGGTCATCAACTCTGCCACAATAAAAACAACGAAAGCAGTAACACATGGAGTAACAATATAATAAATATGTAATAAATGAGGAGCAGCAAAGTTATGTTGAAAAGAAAGAAAAAGGAAAACCAGAGATCCATCAT